GTAAGCAAGTTTGTTGAGGACCACATTATTCTGACAATGTACTGGTAATGACAAATTAATTTAATGCAACTTCATGATCTAGTGTGGAGACCAAAACCAATGAACAAACAACACATCAATAGCTAATGAACCAACAGTCTCACCTGCTCAGATGAGGGTAGTGATGAGTTGGACATGTTCACCTAAAATATAAAAACCAGAGGTTACGGTATGTACCACACATTGTTGGTGTCTGTTTCTGTTTGGTTTCTGTTTTATTGATATGTTTTGATTTGTTTTGAATTTTTTTAAATATAAAAATGTTGTACCCCCTGAAAAAAACAGGCGTCACATTACATGCCTACCTTCCAGTAACAGCCATCTCTCTATTACTGCCCCTTTCATCTGTTCCCAAGGTGGCTGTGGGGAAGAGGTTTGACTGTATTCTTACAACATTAGGAAAAACTTACTGACTGCTCCAACAGCATAACTACTCGGTCCTTGATTGCTGAATACCATGACAACAGCTCTACATAGTTCTCGCTGTAAAGCACTACAGAGGCACCACCATCCATTGAGCTAACTTCAAATGCATTACTCCTGTCAGTTGTCAAAAACTATATTATAAATGACAAGTCCAAATACTAAATGCACACATTTAATTTTAAGGGATTTTGTTGTTAGGCTTTTATAAGCCTGGGAGTTGATAATGAAATAATCAATGCACGAAAGTTTATTAACGACCATTATAATCATGACACTGTAAATAGAAACATTTGGGAATATCTGAAAACTTATCAAAGCCTAATCATGAGCTGAAGGTAAGGGAAAAGTGGTACTAGAGAATTCTTCCAAACTTTTTCCAGACTTTGCATCTGGTTAGATGAGCATTAAGTGGCTTGACAAACACAATGACCAATGAATATGTAATCAGAGTTCACAAAGCCCTGAGCAAAATGATTACAATCACCTCCAGCTATAACAGAGACCTTATGGGCAACAATTTAGCATACTGGTAAAAACTTCACAAGACAGGAAGGCACCAAAAAAAGCATTTAACTTGTCGATAAGTCAATGACACAAGTAAGCATGCCCGTGGCAATCATCCGCTGGCCAACAGCAGATATTCCAGTTAGTTCTGATAATTGATAATCTCAATCAACATAATTTTTATTCAGCCACTTACCTCAGGCTATCTTCCCCTGTCTTATATCTTGATATTGACGCAAATGTCAGTGGAAGCACAATATTGTCTGTCCAACTCTGAAGAGAGGAGTTAGAATCTGTTTCCCCAATTTCAGAAGACTGCAAAGATAAAAAACACTTTTAACATCCAGATGTGATGATTAATGATCTAATGTTCTATTTAACAGTGACTACATTCACAGAACTCAACCTTCGCTGAAATACTTTTGCTGGCGACTAAATCTAGAAACTTAGTGGCCAGCTGGCCCCAAGGTGTTTTCCTGAAAGTTGAGCCATGATTCACATACCTTTTGACTACTGTTTTCTTTAAATTCCGCATCACTTGAAGACTCCTCAATGCTTCTGACTATTCCATTTGCTGTCAAATGAGACAAAACACAGTCTTTTCTCAACTACTAGATATTAACTAGCAAAAATCTACTAGCGTTCTATCATGAATGCCATTCTCTAATTGGCTATACTACTCACTAAATATTCTGTTTTAGATAGTGAGTAGCCTAGCAATGTGTAGTTGCTAACAAAATTGCAACTTTTTTTACATTTTTAAAGTGTCTGTGAAGAGGATTTAGATAAAGTTTTAAACAACTAGTAGATTTATATACTAAAAGTAATCAGACTATTCGCTCTCAGTTTCTATGTGAGATAGTTGTCATGTTGACTACCATGAGATAAAAATTAGTGCATAACTATAACTAACTGCCACTGTAATAGGCTACAATGACTAAAGTGCAATATTCGGCAATATTTTCTTATGTTAGACTCTTGATCTGTTTTGGGATATATCAGAGACCAATATGTTTCACACTTTGTGCATGACATTTTGGAAGCTTCATGTTATGTCACTGGAAGTGAAGTGATTTTTATTTTGTTATTATACAATCAACATACCTTGTTTTGATATGCTTGACTGACTCACTTCAGAGGTATTTCCTGCTGTCAGTGTGCTTTCTTCAACTGAAATGAAATAATATGAAAAGAATGGAAATCCTGACTTTTTTTCAAGTACAACTGATAATAATGTCAAGGGGTTTATATCCACTTGGTGATGTTGTCTTGCCCTTGTAGTGTGCTGGTGCTTGGTTAATGCATATAAAAAGACCTGTTTGGCTTTTTGTCTTTTCTTCCGAAGAAGACAAACATACATTATCTAATATCTAGTTTGGCACTACACAGTTGCTTAGTTCTTACTAACCGAGCAGGAGGTCTGTATGGAAGAATCTTGACCGAGGTCGGGAGTACAGATCCACTACGTTCGGTCTGTACTCACGACAGAGGTCAACATTCTCCCATACAGACCAACTAAGCTCGGTTAATAAGATGTTTATTATATGGCCCAAACAAGAACAATTTAATTCGTTTAATGTAACTGGTTTGTACTAACTGTCATTTTGCTTGCGAATGGCGATGAGCTGAATTTAATTCTGCTGAAGTTTGCTCGTCCTCTTTACTTTTTTTTTCTCATCAGGCTTTTTGGCACTTCCATAAACAAATATTGTTAGCTGATAACAGTCAATGACTTTGCATTTTCGTTTACAACTTTTTTATGGCAAAACATTACCGGTCTAGATGCTGGTCTAGATGGGAAAATCTAGACCGCTTTCAATATCGATTTCAGCCAATCAAATTTGTGAATTCGGTAGTTCCCAGTCCTNACCTCAGGCTATCTTCCCCTGTCTTATATCTTGATATTGACGCAAATGTCAGTGGAAGCACAATATTGTCTGTCCAACTCTGAAGAGAGGAGTTGGAATCTGTTTCCCCAATTTCAGAAGACTGCAAAGATAAAAAACACTTTTAACATCCAGATGTGATGATTAATGATCTAATGTTCTATTTAACAGTGACTACATTCACAGAACTCAACCTTCACTGAAATACTTTTGCTGGTGACTAAATCTGAAAACTTAGTGGCCAGCTGGTTCCAAGGTGTTTTCCTGAAAGTTGAGCCATGATTCACATACCTTTTGACTACTGTTTTCTTTAAATTCTGCATCACTTGAAGACTCCTCAATGCTTCTGACTATTCCATTTGCTGTAAAATGAGACAAAACACAGTCTTTTCTCAACTACTAGATATTAACTAGTATAAATCTACTAGCGTTCTATCATGAATGCCATTCTCTAATTGGCTACACTACTCACTAAATATTCTGTTGTAGATAGTGAGTAGCCTAGCAATGTGCAGTTGCTAACAAAATGGCAACTGTTTTTTGCATTTTTAAAGTGTTTGTGAAGAGGATTTAGATCAAGTTTTAAACGACTAGTAGATTTATATACTAAAAGTAATCAGACTATTCGCTCTCAGTTTCTATGCAAGATAGTTGTCATGTTGACTGCCATGAGATAGAAATTGGTGCATAACTATAACTAACTGCTACTATAATATGCTGCAATGACTTAAGTGCAATATTTGGCAATATTTTCTTATGTTAGACTCTTAACCTGTTTTGGGATATATCAGAAACCAATATGTTTCACACTTTGTGCATGACATGTAATTTAGAAGCTTCATGTTATGTCAATGGATGTCAAGTGATGTTTTATTTTGTTATTATAAAATCAACATACCTTGTTTTGATATGCTTGACTGACTCACTTCAGAGGTATTTCCTGCTGTCAGTGTGCTTTCTTCAATTGAAATGAAAAAATATGAAAAGAATGGAAATCATGACTTTTCTTCAAGTACAACTGATAATAACTTCAAGGGGTTTATATCCACTTGGTGATGTTGTCTTGCCCTTGTAGTGTGCTGGTGCTTGGTTAATGCATGTAAAAAAATCTGTTTGGCTTTTTCTCTTTTGTTCCGAAGAAGACAAACGTACATTATGTAATATCTAGTTTGGCACTACACAGTTGCTTAGTTCTTACTAACCGAGCAGAAGGTCTGTATGGAAGAATCTTGACTGAGGTCGTGAGTACAGACCTCACTGTGTTTGGTCTGTACTCACCACAGAGGTCAACATTCTCCCATACAGACCGACTAAGCCCGGTTAATAAGATGTTTATTATATGGTCCAAACAAGAACAATTTAATTCGTTTAATGTAACTGGTTTGTACTAACTGTCATTTTGCTTGCGAATGGCGATGAGCTGAATTTAATTCTGCTGAAGTTTGTTCGTCCTCTTTACTTTTTTTTTCTCATCAGGCTTTTTGGCACTTCCATAAACAAATGAAGAAGCTAGTCATAAAAGGGGATAAGTGACGATTTTGGTTGCTTTTCTTTTTTCTTGCTCCAAATTAGCTGAATTTTT